AAAATATATTTAAAATATAACAAAATTCAAAAACTTCAAAAAAGTTTAAAAAAGATTAAAAATTCAAATACAGTTTGAAAAGAATTCTAAAATTCAAAAAATTTCGACAAAAAGTATAATTTTTCAAAAATTCGACAAGTTTTAACAAATTTCAAAAAATTAAAAACTTACAAAAAATTCAAAAAGTTTCAAAAATTCATAAAAAATTAAAAAAATTCTAAAATTGAAATAATTTTAAAAAAAATAAATTTTTCAAAAAATTTGATAAGCTTTAAAAACTCAAAAAAAAACAATAAAGTTTCAAAAAATTCAAAAAATTCAAAGAGTTTCAAAAAATTCAAAAGATTCATTAAAGCTTTAAAAAAGTAAATAACATCTTAAATTAAAAATCATTCAGCTTTTTTTCAGTAGTTTCATTAAAAATTCTTTATTTTCTCGCATTTATTGTTATGAATAATTGATTTCAATCTTTTCTCAATAAATTTTTCATTTCTCTTAATTTTTTAATTATTTTTTTTTTCATCTTAAAAATTTTGTTTTTTCCTCAATCAATTTTAAATTTTTCATATCCTCATTTATTATCATAATCATTTAGAATTCTGCTTTATAATTTTTTTTTCTTCAAATTTCATAATAATTTTTCCATAATTTTTGTTTTCATCATTTATTTTATTTTTTTCATTCTTCATATAAGCTTGTATTCAGCATAAAAGTAAAATATATCATGTCGTGTCATTTATTATATGCTATGCGTCATCTAAAAAATATTTCTATGATCTTAACTGAATTTTTTTTTGTGAGAATTTTCTTTTTTATTATTTTATCATAACATCAGTGTGATAGAGATAGAACAGCTAAACAAGCAGTTTTTTTTTGGTGTGGGGATAAAAAACCGGAATTTTTATTACTTTTTTAAGAAAAGAAAGGCTTAAATCGTGGATGAAAGCTTTACTTTGTCTTTTTGACTCCGTGGAAGTTAGCCGCTTTTCGCCGATTTGGCTTTTCGCTGATTTTTGTATCAAGTAAACTTGATAAATTTGAAATTCGCTGATTTTTAATTTTCGCTGATTTAAAATTCGCTGATTTTCAATTTTCGCTGATTTTAAATTTTGCTGATTTTTTTAAAATTTTCGCTGATTTTTGAATTTTCGCTGATTTTAAATTTTTTGCTGATTTTAAGAGTAAAGTTTAAAATGTGATCATAAAAATCACCGGAAACCCGGAAGCAAAGAACCATCTTCGCGAAATCACCTGCTAAATGAAAATCACGTGGGCGTGTAGTGCGGCCGAGACCTTTATCGACACAGTTCAAAAGTTGTACCTAATTTATGCTAGAATTATGTCAGTAACAAAAACACTTAGTTTGAATTTTGGGACTAGGGTCGCCCCTAGTCCAAAATTGAAAATTGAACTGACGTAAATCTGGCATATAATACATATCATTACATTTTTTCAATTTGCTTATACTCTTTACTGTGCAAACGAAAAAATAATATTTCTTTATCCTGAAACACTTGACATAATAGTGACATAATTCAGAATTACTTTCTTTTTAGTAATCTAATATATAAAAGCCCAACTCACTGATTCACTGACTCTGGAACGGAAGTCATGTGAAGACATTTGTGAAGACGTGTGAAGACAAAAATTTAAGGAGTGTTGACAAGGTGGTTGTCAGGTGGGTGTGGGTGTCAAGTGTGGGTGTCAGGTGTGGGGTGAGTGTCAGGTGGGGTTGGGTGTCTGGTGTGGAGTAAGGTGGGTCCGAGTTAGAAGGGGCTTATGAAACAATGTGAAGCCATATATAAAGCATTTGTGGGATTGAGGGGGTCCAATTTTGAGGGGTTTGTGAAGTCATGTGAAGTTTTGTGGTAGAATTGACTTTAAAAACATTAAGGTTATTAGAGTGTTACCATTATTTACAAAATATTAATCAAATTTAAACACTGATAACGGGCGCGCCCGAATAGACTAGTAATTTAATATTTACGAGAAAATGTTGTTCAAACATGTGTTAAGTATGGCCGAGATTTGGACCAAAATCAACTATACTGGTTCATAATGTTCTCGATGGTGACAAAATTCAAACTAAGTGTTTTTGTTACTGACATAATTCTAACATAAATTAGGTACAACTTTTGAACTGTGTCGATAAAGGTCTCGGCCGTACTACACGCCCACGTGATTTTCATTAAGTGGGTGATTTCGAAAAGATGGTTCTTTGCTTCCGGGTTTCCGGTGATTTTTATGATCACATTTTAAACTTTACTCTTAAAATCAGCAAAAAATTTAAAATCAGCGAAAATTCAAAAATCAGCGAAAATTTAAAAAAAAATCAGCAAAATTTAAAAATCAGCCAAATTCAAAAATCAGCGAAATTCAAAATCAGCGAAAATTGAAAATCAGCGAATTTCAAATTTATCAAGTTTACTTGATACAAAAATCAGCGAAAAGCCAAATCGGCGAAAAGCGGCTAAAATATACTGAGTGTCTTTTTGTCTGTTTAATCATACTTAATTATAACCATCGACATAGCCAGGTAAAGAAAGGATTTCCTAATCTTTTTGGATTAATATCTCTGCCTTTAGTTCCGTTTATTTCAATTTCTGACAAAACCCCTTTAAGGGGTTGTTCAATTATGACGTCCAATATTAACGGTCATTTTTCAAAAAAGAACAATGGATTTCCAGGAATTTCTATTGTTCTTTTCGTTCTGACCCCCCCCCCCCCGTCATAAGTGAACGGCCCCTTACCCAACTTTACCATTACAGGTGCGTAGCCAGGGGGAGGGGGATTTGCGGGATAAATGCCCCTTCGTTATCAGAAATTTCTTCATTTTGCATGGATTTTTATGAGAAATTTGCAAAAATCCCCCGTCCCTAAAACTATTGTATGCAAAAAATTTTGACCCTCCCTCCTCTCTCTCTTAGAATTCCTGGCAACGCCTCTGTCATCTTAGCTTTAGTAACCAGATAAAAAATGACTAAGAAAGAATCACAAGAATTGATAAAATTTTCTCCTATATAAAAACTGTACCTGTGGTAGATTCACCACAGATTTTCATATTTTCACAGATTTGAGCCAATAGTATCTGTGATTTAGGAGAAAAAAGTGACCTTGTGATTCTTTCTATAGTCATGTAGTAACTGTATCATTGATGAATATTCGAATCTGGTTCTGGAGCTGGTTTCTAGAACTCCTGAGGGCACCCTACACAAGTCTCAGATTAATTTGATTTAAAACCCATATCTTAGTTTATGAATTTTGATTTTTGCCCTTGATTGCCCCAGGTAGACCTAACAATCGACACGAGAACCATCTTAGCTAGGTTCGTAATCAACTCATAAGCAAACCTAGTATTGATTAAGGTTCTTTAATAAAGAAGGAGTCAAGAAGGTTTAAGAGTCAACTTCCGTCCTTTTAAATTCAAAAATTGTCTTCAATCTCCACTAAAACCAAAGAACTTCTTAATCGAGTCCTTCTAAAATAATCTAGAATCATCCTTTGATACAAGTTCAAGTCCCTCTCACCATAATAATCCTACTTCAAATTATTTATTATTTCAAGCTATATCATCGCATTTAAGACTTACTAAGCCATAATCATACCATATTCATAGTCATTTGCTCAGTGAAATGTTAATAAATTCCATAAACATTAAAAACTTTTCAATTCCGATCATAATTTACTCTATTAAAGCATGAACAGCACAAGCAGAAGATTCTCAACATCATCGAACTATTTGCCTTTAGAAAATTCCAGCTTTACACCCGTTAATAAATTTAATGAGTCACAAAAATGTTCCATGACAAAGTTTTAATGAACATATAAAGTTTTTTCCTACATAACTTTATTGATAGCATCCAAAAGACTAACTCAGTCGAAAATAATTTTTTTCTTTGTTTGATATTATGCAATAAATATCATGACTCGAAAGTTCGTCAAACTTTAATTTCGATTCATTTAATTCTGTTGATCCCAGGGGTTCTGTTAATGCTCATCGTCGCATTAAGAATGTTACTTAACTTGTCGTGGGATTAAAATTTATTTATTTATTTTTTATTTTTTTTACTAGATCCCTAGAATATTCTACAATCACAATATAATCCCATTAAAGTTTAATTTCAATCAATCATGTTGACTATTTTAGTCTGGGTCAATAAAATATCCAATTTCCTCTATTCCTTGGTGCTTTATTCTTACGACAACAATGATATTTTCTTTTTAAACTTGGTGATTTTCTTGTTTTTGTTATAAAAATAAGAGTTTTGTTGTGGATTAAGGAACAGAATTGTCAGAAAACTGTGATTGCCTTTTGATTAAGGCTTAATTGATCGGCTGCTGTGTTTTTATCAATTTTCGAACATAGCTGACGATGCTTCCTTTTTTTGCAAAGAAAAAAGGATCTTAAAGCTAATAACTTCTTCTGGGAAAATTAGTCGATGTCAAGGGAAGATGACTTTGAGTTTGAGGAGAAATTTGAGGTTATGACTTAACTTGATTTCAGCAGGTGAAGTTGCCTTGTGGCTCTGAAACTTAAATACAATGGCAGGAAATTCGCTGTCTTGGACATGTCATCAAAATATTGTTAAACATGACCAGCATGACGCTAGATACCCTAGATTTTGACATGCTAGCCTTTTTTTAACAATATTTTGATGACATGTCCAATAAAGCTGACTGCCCGCCATTGTATTTAAGTTCCAGACCAACATTACATCACCTCTTCGTCAATTCATTCCTCATTGTCGCTCAAGTATATTACCTAAAGTCACAAATTCAACAAAGTGACATTCCCTTGACTCTATAGCTTCTCTGACAACTCCGACCCTTAAACAATCCCATATTAATCTTAATGAAAAAATAATTTACAAATAGGACTCAATTCCTTGCTGTTTTTGCCTTTCAAAACAACAATAAAAAGGATTAGATTCAAGAAATTGAGTCTCAATATCATCTACATAAAAATATCAAGTAATAACAATATTTGACAACATGTTTGTGTGTTTTTCTCATCTGAATATCAATTTGGATATAGAAAAAGCACATAACAAGCACAAATAAAAGTATAAAACTTAAATTTACCACTGTTTTTGTTTAACTTAGTATTATAAACTTGAATGTGGGCAGCGAGCAATAAAAATATAATCTCTATAACCATCCCTGTTGATGTAAATGACCTTGCAATGGTATTATATTAGGCAAATTCGGTAGTGCCTGTTGACCGTTTAATTCGAATTTAATATTACTAGCCATACTAAGACTACCACGTGCTAAATTTAGTAGTGGTTCCGTACTAGTCGGTGCGACACTTTCTTCCGTTGTTGAGGCACTCATCGGTGGAGCTTCTGCTTGTTCCTGTGATACTTCTGTTCGATCTTGACTCTGCGTTTGTTCGTGACGCGGTTGAAATACTTCACGCTTTTCAGGTACGGAGGGACGTGTGGGTACACTAGATGCCCTTTGTAACGTCTAGATTTTTTTATGGGATAAAATTATGAAAAAAAATCTCGATTAATTCATAAATATGCAAATTAAGGATTGTGGTGGAGTTTAGTCAAAAATATTCATGCTATTCTACAGACAAAAAATTCATTCACTCGAGTGTTAAAGGAAGTTGCCAAAAGTGCTTCATAAAGCTGCATGTTTTGTTTGCAGTCTTTTTCATTTTATGAAGCACGCTTGAACTTTTTATATATTTTTTATTATTTGGAAATCTTGTTGTGATTCAAGATTTATCCAAGTTACAACAGAAAATTTGTGAAAGGTAATTTGAAATTTTGTGTTTTTTAATAAAGAAAAGGAAGTTATAAGCAAGAAATAACATGATATCCAATTAAGCTTCATATGTAGCTTATGAAGTTTGAGGAGAGAAAAAGTTAATTTATTAGTCAGATGTTTGAGGAAGTGCTGTTTTGCAGAGGTGACTTAAAAGCTTTGATTCGGTAAGCTTTTTTTTAAAATTCAATTGAGCATATAGACCAAGAACTAAAGCTTTTCTCATTATAAATTCAGGCTTAAGCTAAAATTTTGAGATTTTTGACAAAATTGTGAGCTTTTTGACAACATTGTGCGCTTTTTGGCAAAATTGAGAGCTTTTTGACAAAATTGTGAGCTGTTTGACAAATCTGTGAGCTTTTTGACAAAATTGTAAGTTCTTTGACAAAATTGTGAACTTTTTAACAAAACTTTGAACTTTTTGACTACACTTTGAGCTTTTTACAAATTTGTGAGCTTTTTGAAATTTTTTGACAAAACTGTGAGCTTTAGAATAAAAATCAGAGCTTTTTGACAAATTTGTGAGCTTTTTTACAAAGTTATGAGCAATTTCACAAAATTGAGAGCTTTTTGACAAAATTGGAGCTTTTTGACAAAATTGAAAGCTTTTTGACAAAATTGAAAGCTTTTTGACAAAATTGAAAGCTTATTGACAAAATTGTGGGCTTTTTTACAAAATTGTGGGATTTTTGGAGCTTTTTGACAAAATTGAAAGCTTTTTGACAAAATTGTGGGCTTTTTGACAAAATTGTGGGATTTTTGACAAAATTGGAGCTTTTTGACAAAATTGAAAGCTTTTTGAAAAATATGAACTTTGAGCTTTTTGAAAAAGTTCTAATTTTTAAGCTATTTTGATTTTCAAAAGTCAAAGCTTTGTAAAAAATTAGCTTTCTGATGAAAAAAGGACTTTTAAAGAACACCTTAGCATTTCATAATTTTAAAAAAATCCAATTTAATATTGTTAAATGTGCAAACAAAACTTAAAAGCACCGTCCAGTTAAAAGTTTAAGCAATCAAATGAACAATTAGAAAGCAAATTAATTACTTTTGTAAAAATGTTGAACCTACTAGCATAATATCTTGTCATGATTATGCCAACAATTCTGCAGTCTATGATAAAGATTGTAAAAATTGCAAAATTGAAATGCTCGTTCTCTCCTCAAAAAATCATAAAATAAATTTACAAAAAAAAATAGTACATAAAGTTTACAGAAATAATACACAAAAGCACCATTTATACCCGAACAAGTATAACATTGAGTATAATTTGATTTACTTTTTTAAGAGATTTTTTAAGACTAGATGAAGGTGACGTATGCTCGGGAGGTGGTTCTAGCACAGGACTTTCATTCCGACTATTTGAAAACTTTTTTCGTTTGCGCTTAAGTGCCGCAAGAGCACTGAAATTCAAATTGACATGCGGCATATGCAGGTGATGATGTTCTTTCTTAGTATTATTACTGCTATTGCTATTATGGGAACTATTATGCACATTACTATTATCATTATTTTTATTTGGAGATTTGTGCTGTTCGCTGGATTGTTGCCGTGAGTGTTGGTGCTTATGATGACTTGAATGATGGTGCTCAACATCGGGTTTATCTAAACTAGGATTGGAATCTGTCGGTGATTCAGTTACCGCTTCTTCAGAGTTCGGACTAATGCTCGCTGACTCATTGCGATTATGGATAGGCGGTGGTGAATTGCATACTGAATCTTCTGAACGTGAACGACCGATAAAACGTGATACGCTACCTGATTTTGCCGCTTCTATTAGTGTCCCTATTGTTTTTTAAAATTATTTTTGTGTGATTTTAAGGGAAAAAAAATTTTGATTTTAATTTAATTTTTTTTGTTTCATTTTTAAAGTGAGCAGCAGCATCAGCAGCAAAGAAGAAAAAGAAGAAGAGAGAAGAAAAAAATGGTAAAATGTGATTGGAGGAAAATATCAAGTTTGTGTGTTGTGTTGTGTATAATTGGTTAAATATAAATTATTGCCATGACCAAGACTAAAATTGCAGTTCATTTTTCTGGCTTCTGTTCCGTACACAGTTGTCAATTAATCAAAGTACGAATGACACATAATTGACAATAAATTTTAGTCAATTGACCCAAAAAATGAATCGAAAAAAAGTTTTATGTGTGTTTGTCTATCCAATGGATGAAAATAATAGTTATAGGGATAAAGGGATTAAGGGATAAAGGGATTAAAGAATAAAGGGATAAAGGGATAACGGGATAACGGGATAAATGGATTAAGGGATAGAGGGGTAAAAAGATAAAAGGATAAAGGGATAAAGGGATAAAGGGATAAAGGGATAAAGGGATAAAGGGATAAAAGGATAAAAAGATAAAGGGATAAAGGGATAAAGGGATAGAGGGATAAAGAAATAAAGGAATAAAGGGATAAATGGATAAAGGGATAAAGGAATAAAGGGATAAATGGATAAAAGGATAGAGGGATAAAGGGATAAGGGAATAGAGGGATAAAGGGATAAAGGGATAAAGAACCATCATTTGAAAAAATGTTCAAAAATCCGTAGCTATTTAGTCTTATTCTCAAAAATCAACTAAAGCACGCACGATCAAAAACAAAGGTCAATTTTAGTCATTTTATCTCCAATCTGTTAATTTACCAATTTTTTATTTTAAAATTTCAAATATTTTTGTTATAAATTTCTCTCAAAAATCTTAAATTTTAGTTTCAAAAATATCTTAATTTTAAAATTTCAAAAAATCTTAATTTTAAAATTTCAAAAATGTTTGATCCTGTCAAAATTTCTTCCGAATAACGTCGAAAAAATTAATTTGCACACATCGGCTGTGAATTAATGGCTTTTTATTTCGTTTGTGTCTTTTTGTGTGTAATATGGTATTGAATTCTAAATGGTTTTTGTTGGTAATGGGGAAAAAATAATACAAAAAAAAAGAATTTTGTCTAAATGTAGCGGAAAGAAATCAAAAAGTATGCATCACATTCAACAATAATTACCCCACTTTCTCTTATGCGAACCGCCATTACGTTTCGAATGAAATTTGGGTGCAAATCGACTAAGTTTATGAATGGGATTTATGGAATCGCCGAATGAGCTTTGTGATGTTGATATTTGTTGTTGCTCTTGTTGCTGTAATGGATTAGGACCTGCATTTTTTCTAGGTGTGATTCCTGGTCCAAAAAGACCACTAAGGGCAGATAATTCATGAGAGCCATGATGATCTAGAGGGAAACTACCACTATGTTCACTTAATGGTGTCAATTGTGCTGATGTTATTGTAGGCGCTACATTAAAACCTTTCATTAAGCGTCGCTCCTTTTGTCGATTCTTCTTGCCACCAGCACCACCTGGGCCCGAGGCAGTGCTTGTGTTCATGCCACTGTTCTTCAGGATCTCGACGAGCTCACAACGAAAGGCTGAAATGTCTTGCTTGATCTCATTAACATCATCTTCAGTGACTCCCTGTGATTCAGCTTTCCTCTGCTGCACCGTCACATATCTCCTTACTAAATTCCTCATAATACTTTGATATCGAAAATCTCGTTCGCTTGCCTGCTTTACTTTCTGCAAATGAAATCATAAAAATGTAAGAACAAATTTTTGAGCCATAAAATAAAAATCATCGGAATAAGAAATTGTGTAAAATGAATATTTATAGCTTAAACGTTCATAAATTTTTGGACATTTCCCTTACCCTTATTGTCTTCATATGCTCCTTTTTTATTGCCTTCGATTGTCCGAAAAATTTCCTCTTCAGCCATTGAATGAAATACAACAATGATTTTGGTGTTGGAATGATGTTAAAGGGCGGCGGACATGTGGCTCCTGAATTTATATTTTTTTTGTCGATTTTTATGTATTTTTATTTCGTGATTTCCGTAAAAAGAAGAAGAGTCATGAAAAAAAATAGGAAGGAAAAATGAGAGATAAGTATGGGGTTGTTCGTAAATGATGTCAATAGTAAAAACATTGATGTCCTCCTAGCTAATGGGTGCTTAAATCATAAAAACAATCAAAAAATATCAAAAGTTGATTGGATTTAGAACCAATCCTTGAACGCACTTTTCATAATGCTTAAAACAAAAATAATTTGAATGGTGAAAGGTCCGAACTTTGAAGGAGGACTAGGGTCTGGATATCATCTTAGGAATCGTTCACTTATGACGTCCGAAATTAGGGGTCATTTTTAAAAAAGAACAAAGGATTTCCAGGAATTTCTATTGTTCTTTTCTTGCTGACCCCCCCCCCTCCCCTCCCTCGGACATCACAAGTGAACGGCCCCTTATTCATTTTAAATTTTAATAAAAATTTATGGCTACGCCCCTTATTTTTACTTCATTTTTGATCGACCCATAAAGGAAATACAAAAAAAGCACGAGGATGACTTCGAAGAAAATATTTTTCATTTTTGAATAAATGAGGAACGAGCAAAAAAGGTCGTGGGAAAGTTTTTCAGTTTTTTTTAAAAAAGGCATGAATCGACTTCATGCCCGAAAGGAGATACACAATGAGTATTTATAGAACCAATTTTTATCGCACAATTATACAATGATGTTATTTTGGGATATAAGTTTATGAACAAAAATACCAGAGGATGAAAAATATGCAAAAATCCTTAAATTCCTTGCATAATTTTATGCTTAAAAGAAGAAGAATGGAAACTTATTTTGTTTTATGGCTTGATAAAACTAATAATGTAAGAAATATAGTTCTTTGTGGAATTTTTGGGAGGTTTATGAACAGCAACTATGGTTAATATTCTTATGAAGTTTGAGAATTAAAAGGAAGTAATTTTTGAGCATTTAATTTTTTTTAAAGCTACAGAAGTGGTTTGTCAGCGTGCTGATCCCCCAAAAAGTCAAACTACACATTAAATTCCTGATGAAAATCCCCAAAAGCTTGATGAATATTAAAGATCCAAAAAAAGACAAGATAAAAGGCAAAGATGCATCAAAGAGATTATACAGGTAATGTCAACTAATGGTCGACGATTTATAATAGATTTCCTTCAAAAGCAGCTTTATCTTATATTCTATCCACATAAAAATGGGATGCCTTTACCACAGTTAATACTGCATGAAGGTCATGTTTATTATTCATAAAACTGTCATCATAAGATACGATGGGTATACCCAGGAGGTATCAGATTTCAGCTGAGTATGGGTGATGACAGAAATAAAGCTTGAAATGTCTTTAAATATCCTTATTGAATAAATTCAGCAAATTCTAAATTTATCACAATTTTATGAACATAATCTGTCTTTTACATTTTATTTGAGTACTCTTCAAATCATTTGAAGATGCTTTTCATTCATCAATGTGATAAAAAGTGACGTCAATTGGCATAATATTTTTTTTTGCAAATGGGAACGTTCATAAATGACGTATTCAAAAGATTTTAGTTTTCAGACCTTCTCCTATACAAAGTTTTAATGCATTTAAAAAACTGTCACACAACAACAAACCATCTCATACCCTCAAACAGGTACATCATTTGCTAACGACCCCAATGATCTGCCATAATAAAATATTCATTCTTGAAGGTCGTGACAATTAAAGATGCTGGAGTCTTGGAATATTAGATAATCTTTTACAAGATAAAGGAACAATACGTCATCAATCAGTCTTATCTTAAATCCATCATCAGCAAAGTTTAAGACTAGGCTTAAAATCTCATTAATTCTTTTCAGCGGTAATTTTTGTGAATTGTTAATTGCTGTGTTGTGAGTTTGGTTTGAGATGTTGTGTGGGATGAGCAGGGACAGTTAGGAATATTAAGGATGATTATGCTAACACCATTCATGACATGCTCTATCGATTAAAATTGACTATTGTGTAGGTGATTGACGTCATTTGTCCAAAAGGAGCATTAAGTGTATGTATGCACAAAAATCAGTCTCAACTGTTGTCTTGACTTTTAAAATTCGGATATAACTTCCGGATATGAACAGCACAGTAGGAAGAAACACAGCCAACTTTAAAATATTCCAAGATTCTTTAAAATCTACATTAAATTTAGCCAGGGCTTTAAAATATTCAAATCTAAAAGGAGCTTCCTCTCACGCACATTTTTTTAAAAATAATATCAAATTCTGTACATTTCATTCCTTTCCATAAACTCCAGCAACATGATCAGCTAATAAATTTTACCCATTTTCATTACAGCCGTTAACAAACCGTTCATCTAAACATTCAATGTTACTAAATCAACTTAATTTACCTTCTTCAAAGTAGCTTATCCATAATTTCGATCTCGCAAATTTCCATTCAGTATCCGCACGTTCCTATCGAAGCAGGTAACAAAAAATAGAAAAAAAATTAAATTTACATTTTTTGAAATTCATGTCTGTTAAGCTTGTCAATTTCTTCTTGTTGCTCATGATGAAAAGAACCGACAACAGCGGTATTGAATTTTTTTTAGGGGTTGTTCACTTATTACGTTGGATAATGTTAATTTTAAGACCTTTCCTCTCGTTACAAAATGCATGGAATGTTAAAAATCTCAGACCGACTCTCACCGACCTTAAAAATCAAGCATAACAAGTGCACTACCATGGTGGTTGCCAAATCAACCAAAAGAAGAAAATAGCAACATGATACCTCCATTCATGATATTATTAATGTATTTGTTTATCACAAGATGTCGACAAGAAGAAAAAATAATAATATTGATTTTTAGACGAGCACGACTACTTACCGATATCAATTGATATGAGTGATTCATCATTGCGATGAGCAAATTCAATAATACAACGATATTTATTACACTATAACATCCGAACATTAACATTCCCCAAAAACGCGTAAATATTTTTATACCATCCAATTCAAAACTGTCAAGATCGATGAGACCAAATGCCGCCCAAAATAATGTTTGCGTTGTTTCAAATAAACTATATTGGAATGGATGAAAAGAAATGAGAAAAGATAGTCATGTCCGAGAATATAAATCAGAAAAAATATATAAATTGCATATTTGCTTGACTATAACTTACTTCGTAAATCGCCTCCATACGATGCACGCATTTGAATCGATGGTGCCATTATATGCGGCTGAGGATGAATATTCCGGACAACGTTTTTTCTCTAAGTCAGCATAATACCTAGATGTTATAGATAGGGGGAGATGAAATGAATGAAAAGTGTGTTTTTCAATCAAAATGGGATGATGAGACGCATTTTTTGAAGTTGTATTAAGATTGTTGGACTTATGAAGATTGCAAATAGTTTAGGAAATGATAAAAAATATTAATAATCGTTTAAAAATAGGAAAAATTATCCAAACCTAGTCAAACTTAGTCAAACCTAGTTCAATTTAGTCAAACCTAGTAAAACTTAGTCAAACCTAGTTCAATTTAGTCAAACCTAGTTCAATTTAGTCAAACCTAGTTCAATTTAGTCAAACTTAGTTGAACTTAGTCAAACCTAGTTGAACTTAATCAAACCTAGTTGAACTTAGTCAAACCTAGTTAAACTTATTCAAACCTAGTTGAACTTATTCAAACCTAGTTAAACTTATTCAAACCTAGTTGAACTTATTCAAACCTAGTTGAACTTATTCAAACCTAGTTCAACTTAGTCAAACCTAGTTGAACTTAGTCAAACCTAGTTGAACTTAGTCAAACCTAGTTGAACTTAGTCAAACCTAGTTGAATTTATTCAAACCTAGTTCTACTTAGTCAAACCTAGTTGAACTTATTCAAACCTAGTTCAACTTAGTCAAACCTAGTTGAACTTATTCAAACCTAGTTCAACTTAGTCAAACCTAGTTGAACTTAGTCAAACTTAGTTCAACTTAGTCAAACCCTAGTGAAAAAAACTCTCCAATCATCCAAAACGATCCCATCAAACCTCTCTTTTATTTCATAATCCTGCATTCAAAAACAAGCCAACATAAAACAATTTTCATGCTAAAGACAAACGCAAAAACATGTCCCACTATAAAAAGGTCAGAAATCGATTGATCAATAAACAAGAACAATGAGTAGATGTCGATAGTACTAACCACATAGAAGTACGAAAGATGAAGATGTGAACGAGGAAGTGTACGTACAATGTAATGAGAAAGTTATTTATGAACCATGAAATCAAATAAGATGACATTGGCACTGTTCTAGAGATAAATGAGAAAAGATATCGAATATTGTTGTAAAAAGTTTCTTATTGATAAAAAGCAATATGCGAGTGAGGAAATAGATTTTGTTTTTGGGGTGCATTAAAAAACTGCACCAAGATAAAACTTATTTAAAATGTTATATTTTACATTGTGTGGCATCAAAGATGATGAAATAGCTTATAATATTTTTATTTTGGAGTATTAGTTTCAAATGTTAATTATAGAGTTCTTACAAATTCATTATTATCTTTCAGGATTTATTATAAATTATGTCTAATCTGCGTCATTGCTCAATTGGTAATTTAGATGCATTTTTGAGAACTTCTAACCTAGTTGTTCTTTGTGTGACCAACAAAATTTATAAATCATTTACTCAGGAGCCGTTCTCTTATGACGTCCGAACAGCAGAAAAACCAAAATAGGAATTCCTGGAAATCCACTGGTTTTTTTTTGAAAAATGGCTGTTATTTTGGCCGTTTGGACTTCATAAATAAACAACCTTATTTAAAATGTGACATTGAAACTTTGAGGACTGAGAGGAGTTCGTCTTATCATTGATGGACGTCATCCCTGAATACCTCTTTATGTACTTCAAAAGTTCGATAATTTTCTTTGTATTTGTTAGATTCTCCTTATCATTATTTATTAATTGAATTTATTTCTTTTATTTCAGTGGTTCTTTGTTGGCGGAACAGCTAACATACTCTAAAAATTGGCTATAAATTCAGAAATTTAAATGTTGTATATTTCATCATAATATGTAAAAATAAGCATAACGTGTTATATTAAAAACCAACTCTATATAAGGCAATGTCTACTTTTAAAGATATTCATTTTACATTGTGATTACAAGTCATTACTCAATGACTTCTGTTTTAAACAGTTTGAAATTAAGTAATGTGATTTTTACATTTTTGCGTCTGTGATTTTTAATATTTTGAATTAAGATTATCCAAAAACTAAATCATCTAGACTTTATGTATATAATATATCAAAACACAATGGTGAGTTATCAAGCTTTATACTTTTTGATAAGAGGTCATTGTTGTGTACATGACGAATATTATAAAAAAGAGTTCCAAGAAATATTGATAAATGTAATCGAAACTTTAATCTAATTGTCATAATTTAATTTTTTACAGGACGCGACTCTCGAAAAACCTCAGAATCAATGGAACACATTCAATTTAACAGAATCAGCAGATTTATTTAAATTATTAAAAGAATTAAATGCAATGAATCATCAAAGTTCATCGGGAAATATTTTGAAGCTTAAATTTATTGTTGGCACCAATTTTGAAGAATTAGGGCTTAAGTATTTAAAGACATTGGAACAGAAATTTAAATTCAAATCAATTGTGATATTAATAGCTGCTAATGATGGAAAGGAGTTTCACATTTATTGGAAATCAAAAGATATTGATAAATTTTTAATTTTGAAAAGTTTTAATCAAAATGATCAAATTCTTTATGAATATGTTGCTGAATTTTTGTCTAAATCACTAAATGATGGACATTTAGGTAAGTTTTATGTTCAAATCCTAATTAAGGCATTGAGAAGCTAGTTCTTCAAACAATACTTAATCTTTTATAGGAACTCACATAAACTTTGACATAATAAGCAATAATTACGAACCAGAACTTCATCATATTATGGATTCTCGAAACTACAACTTACTCTTTGTTGCATCTGAAGCAGGACATGCTAAATCAATTGATGCTTTGCTTAAATATGGTCTTCAATCTCAAATGCCTGAAAAGAAACTAACCGCACAGAGCTTAGCATTAAACGGAGGCTTTTCTGATGTGCTTTTAAAGCAACTTCAAGGAAATCTTCCATTCCCACCATTTATCGAGATTGAGAATTGTTCTGAAGATCTCAAAAGATTCATCAACATGTGTGAGGAAGTTCACAGCATAATCAAATCCAAAAATTTAATTAAATTGAATGAAATTTTATCACAAAATCCCAACATTCGGTACTTTTACAATCAACAAAATGAATCAGCTTTAAAATCTGCAGTCACTAGCCGAGCTTTTAGAATTTATAAATTTTTAATTGAAAGAAATTACAACTTTGCACCACACGAAGATATTGATGAGATTCTTAAGCCTTTAAATCTCACTGATAAGGAAGATTTAAACAAAATTCACATTCAATGCTGTAAAGACCTTCCAGAAAAGCATATTAATATTCTCATACACAATACTACTGTCACACATGATGACAAAAATGAGAATGAAAGATTGGAGCTAGTAAGAAAAGCTTACAGGACATTAAACAAAGACCCACGATTAAGAATCATTCTGCAAATTGTCGCAGCTGTCAAATTATTTCACATTGTCTTTGACTTCTGTCGTGATTCAACGTTCGGAATTGATCCAACCACAAACACGAGCACAACTGGAATCTTTTACTACTCTGGCAGAATTCTGATAGCTGCTAAGCAACTTCTTAATCCAAAGACTGAGAATGAAACGTATGGTGCTCTTGCCCATGAACTTTGTCATTTTGCAGTACATGAAGTATTTGAGAATAAAGCAAATCCATGCAGGAAATTAGATTATGAAGCTAAGATGAAGTTTAAGAAAATTTTGGATGTTTGTAAACAAAACAAGGACAAAGATAAAATCATCAACAATGTTTTTATGAGTTATGGAATTAATGCTCAACCATCGGAACTGGTAGTTCGACCAGCTCATTTGATTGCTTTGTATCATGATCAACCTTTGGTACTTCAACAAAAAGTCAAGCTATATCCAGAGCTTTTTGAATTCTATGAGGAAGTTATTATTCCTGAGATGAAGACTGCACTGCCAAAAATTGACGCTAAGATAGCTTACTTGCCTGCATATACCTTTAGTGTTCTATCAGACCAGAAGCAAAGTGAGGTTAAGAATGCGATTGTTGTTTTTAAGAATGTAAAGGTTAAGTTAGGCCAGCTTTTTCACGCCAATTCTAGTGTTTTTGAAAAATTAACCTCAAATCATATTTCTCAGTTACTAAGCAAGAAAATCCCTAACTTTAATGATCCTCAGCTACGGTATCTAGAATATCAAATCAATTTCAAATGGCAAAGTTTAGCTGACAATTTGAAAGATAAAATTTTTAATTCCAAACTCAATTTTCAAGGTCAAGTCATGAAATTCAAAGATTTGTATAGATTATATCCTTTAACTTTCCATGCTCTGACTCACAATCAAATCATCAGCATATTAAGTGATGATCAAATCAAAATTGGCGACGAAGTTAAATCAGACATTGACTTTTATATTGAACGTAAATTCATTCCTGAAGATTCCAAGTTAATTGATTTCGAGTATCAATATGGCAGTAAGTATGTAGACAATTATGAGACTCGCGAGCAGCATAAGAAGCAAAGGAAAGAAAATAAAACTTTAGAGACATTTTATCGCGAATTTATAAAGGAGGAAAATTCGAATATTTTGGACGAAGCTAAGGAAAATTCACACTTTAAGACTTGCTACTTTGATTTATGTCAAAAAGGTTATAGCTTTATGCATAAGAGCTCAACTGAGCTCATCAATCAAGCTAAAAATGATAAGATTTTGATTTTATCATCAGAAGCAGGTGCTGGCAAGACTGTAACCTTTGAACAGCTTGCAATTAAGAATAAAAAAGTCAGTCCAACTCAGTGGGTATCCTACATTGACCTCAATAGCTACACAGATCTATATAAAGTGGAGGGGAGTTCTATAAATGTTCAGGTACTTCTAGAAAAAATCCTTAGTCGAGACTCGACAAAAAACTCTTTCGAAGTTGAAATATTCAGAGAATCTTACAAGTCAGGAAATTTAGTCTTAGTCTGGAATGGATTCGATGAAATTTCCCCAACTTATAATAACTTTATCATAAATATAATTAAATATATCCGCAATAACACCTCAAATATCCAATTCGTATGCACAAGACCACTTTATTCTGCTCAATTAAGCAAAGCTTTTAAAGTCAGAGCTTGGCAGTTGCTTCCATTTGATGAGGAAAAGAAACAAGAATTTTTGAAGGAATATTTTGCATTCCAAAAGGTTCCAGCTGATAAAATTGAGACATACTTAGAGAATTTCGACAAAATTGTGAGGAAATTGAATTACGAAAAGCTTTCGTTTGCTTATGACTTTAATTCTCCTTTAATGCTGAAGCTTCTAGCTGCGATCCATAAAAATGAAAAATTATTCGAAAATTCTCACATTTATGGAATTTTTGATGATTTTATAGACGCCAAGATACGACTCTGGCTTGAAAAAGACAAAAATAATTATGAACATGCTTCTAAGCTACTTTACAAATGTTCTTTAAGACCATTCTTTCAAAAATATGCTCTGCTTAATGAACTTCAAATATTCTCATCCACAACTTTAGTCCTTAAATTAAGAAAACTGCAAATAATGCAGAAAGATTTTTCCAAAGATGTTCCAATCGAGGTAATTTGTCGCATGGGAATTTTGTATATTAATGGCAAGAATGAGTTCCAATTTACCCACAAAACATTGTCTGAATTTTTCGTTGCTCAATATTTTATTGAGAATATCTATAATGTTGATTATGTGAGCAGTGATGAAGCTGAATTGAGGCTCGAGTTGTTCTACCATTTGACTCACACTTATGGGAATCTGCAGCAAATAATTACTGACTTTATGCGCTCATTCCTTCAAATAGAAAGCCTCAATGTGAACAAAAGTTTCAATTTGACAATTTCAAGTCTTTTGAAATCGAAATTCAATAACTTTTTCATTCGCATGCTCGACACGAACCATCCTCAGGTCTTTGAGTTTCTAATTGAATTTTTTAAAAAGGATCACGACCTTTTGATTGATTTATTGCATGTCCATAAGGATGAGACATTCTATACAGCGATTTTCAATCCAAATTATTTTGCACTATCCACAAATCCTGAAAAAATAAGCCTCATTGCTCGAAAGCATTTAAATAGCAATGAATTTGAGAAATTTATAAATGGAAGGAATCAAAAAGGGAAGATTCTTTTTGGGATGCACTTCTTTAAACTCATTGGGATTACAAAGTCACATGATTCTCTTAATTTTGAGGTTATGTCACTTAAAGATGCTTCTTATTGGAAGTTCTTCAAAAAATATTGTGGACCTGAAAATCAAGGTTTATTCAAGAAGTTAATGGGCAAGACAAAAGGTAAGAAGTTGAAAGATAATGAACAGCATCAAGTTCTTATGACTGCTTTGAGTCCAAAAATTTATTTATTTTATAACAAAATGTTCAGAAGTTCTGATTTTGATGAGTATAAAAAGTTATGGGAAAATTATGAAAATTTAATTCCGTTAGATCAAATGCAGAATTTTCTTGGGGACATCCTGGTTCATTATTTTGAGATTTGTGGATATGAAGTCAATGGACATGAAAACTTCTTATCCTTGCTATTAGAAAAAGTTGAAAAATTCTTGACAAATTCTGAAATCTATGAAATGTTCTTGACAAAAAGCATCCTGCATGGAGCTCATTGGGATCATATATGCTTTACAAAACTGTGGGATTTCCTTAAAAGTCACACAAACAAGTATGAAAGGAAGATGATTTTGAGTAAAAATGAAGTTGGAGAAAGACATTTCTATTTTTATACATCAAGGGACGATATGAAGGATAAATATTCGAATAATCAATATTCATATAGCTACTATGACTTCACACCATTCAAGTTATTCCACAAGTCAATTATCACCAATTTTGAGCTTATCAAAGAAATTTATGAAAATCATTTTACCAAAATTGAAACTCAAAATATGATTTTAAAATCAAATGAATTTCTTTACTATGCCATAAGGACTGCAAATAAAAGACCTTGTGAGAAACTAGTTGCATACCTCCAAAATCTGTTTGTAGGAAATGAAAATGCTTTGAAAGAATTCTTAAATCGGAAAGTTTATCCAACAGACTTGTCAATTTATGAATTTATTGAAGTGTTTAGAGGACTTCCTCATTCTCAAGCAAAATGGTTTGATAATCTAGCTGCTTTTGATAATATTAATATTGAATGAAAAAATCTTAAAAATCGTTAATCTATAAAAATTGTAAAAATGTATCAAATTTAAGGGACACTCAGTCAGGATTGATCTCAACAATTATAATTATATTGTATAAATATCTGAATTATTAAAAAAAAATTGTATTTTAAGGGGTCGTTCACTTATGACGTCCGAAACTCACAGTCATTTTTCAAAATTTCAATTTCTTGCTGAACTTCCTCCCTCCTTGGACGTTATAAGTGAACGGTCCCTGCTGTGTTTAAAGATTTTATGCATGAAAGTTATATTTACCTTGTAATTTTCAAAAAAATGTTAACTTTTCAGGTCCTCAAAGTCCTTTCAAAACTTATTCATGATTAGTGTATGTTTAGTGACTATATGCTCTACAAGGGCAACTTGGGAACCCTTTAAATTTTATAAAAAATCCAGCAATCGATTATTCTTTGAATACAAACTAACCTATTGCCATTAGATAATAGCTATTAATAGTCCTACCAATTGTTCTCACAATCATCCTAAATGCATAAATTGAATAAATAAATTTCCTATCCAACTCTTCCAACTTTTACCATAAAATAAGATTTCTATTTTTAACATCAGCACTGTCATGAATTTCTTGTCATTGAGCAACGATTCTTATTGATTGAAAAATGAAATTTGTGAAATTTAATTTTAAAAGATTCTCAAAAAAGGTTGTAAGTCAAACAGTGTAGCATCACTTTCAAGTTCGTAATGCATCCCGAATGGTACAAGTCGGCTAATCAATCAGAAATTTGGCACCAAGCTAGCATGACTCTGGCATGGTGCTGACTTTGATTAAAATCTTGCATCATGCCAGAGTTAAACTGGCTTGGTGACGGATTTCTGATCGATTAACCGACTTGTGCTATTCGGGTATGTTTTTGAGAAGAAAAAAAAATCTATTTTTATTGATCATTCTTATAAATTTTAAATGAGATATGTAAGGCTCTGATGTCGATGATGAAAGAAATTTATTTGTCTGACATTGTTGATGTGAACAGCAAAGGCGTTAGGAGTGTCAGGGACATTAAGAGCCAGATCAGACAACACTTTCATTGATGAAAAATTGAATTTTCAGATTCTGGCTTCTCCATTTAATTTCTCGGAGTTGACTCCACCATACAAAATCGATTAAATCTCGAGTCGACTTCGAGCTCTGCTTTAGACCCAAGAATTCATCGAAAAAGAGCATTACACACTGACAATCTCCCCCCAAGACTATATCCTTAACACAATTCACTCAAATCATCTAAAACAAAACATGACACGCTATTATTTTAGATATTTTCTACCAAATTTGTAATACACAAAGCTGCTTACAATAGCAGCAAGTGTATTGTTCTCAATAAACGTATCAGAATGATTTATTGACTTTAATGAAAAAGGCATTACAGTAAATAATGTGCTGAGCGAATAATTCCTGCACATTATTGTATTGACAGAAAGTTATGCCTGTATCAGAAGAGAAACATTTGGCATCAATTGATCTGGGAGATTTAAGTATAATAAATGAGAATCAAATTAATGTCGCGAGCGAAAGTTGGGAGGAGATGTAGGTTTGTGGATTGGTAAAAAGAGGTTGGAATGTATTTTGAGGAGAGTTGTTGAACCCCGCAACTCAAGAGATGGCATCAAACTCTTTAAGCTATGTTTGAAATGTTCATAATGTTTGATATGATCTTTGGAGTCAGGATAATGGATTTTAGCCTGCTAAGCTATAGCCAAGAGAGTTTGATCAGACTTACTCACCTACAATTGAGGATTTGCGAGTAGCTTTAAGGATATAGTGACTCAACATGAGCTGAAGAGTCTGCGGTATAATATTAAGATCATATTTCTATGTCATATGCGATAGTCTAGCAAACTCTTGTCAAAACTTCATTTAATTCTATTTCCACTTACTCATCATAGCCAAATACTATCATCCACCATAAGAAACTCATAAGTAAACAATTCATCTTCTTCCAACCATCCAAAAAAAAACAAAGAAAAGCTACAAACAAGCGTTCATTGAACTTCAATCAGATCAGTCTTTAAAATAAAACATTTTCCTGATAAGAATCTACAAAGTCTTTACAAGACATCGATACCAGAAGTTCAATGTTCTCAACTAATCTTCTAATAATCCCGCTCAATATATATCATTGTATGTTGTCTTGTTTTTCAACGTCAATCGGTTCTATTGACTTTATTTATTAGATATCTTAATTCCGTTTATCTATTGCAACACTTGATGGAATTAATTTGTCTCAACAATCGATTCAAGTTAATTAAATAAATCTTTTACTCACCATAATAATTGATTTAAGCCACTACTGAAGGCAAAAAGAACGAGAACGTACAAGAAAAAGAATTTTATAATATCGGTGACCATACGCGATAGTGACACTTGTAACGGTCCTAAATGTGGATTAACTGAGAATATATAGACGAGTTTTAAGGAACTAAAAATATTTCCAGCACTGAATAATCCTTCACTAATCAGCATTGGATCCCATGTGTCCCATTTTTCACGTGCTAAATCGGCAGCTGATGCATCGATTGCCATCTCTTTTTGCACCTATTCGAATGAAAGGAATAAAAAGAATTGAATGAAATGTGTCAATAAAATCACGTAAGGTGCTGTATAAATAAAAGACAAATCAATATAAAAGTATAAATACACAATTGTTCTATTCATGATGATTTGATAAATTCATGTGAGATGTATTGTCACAGATTTTGCTTAATAAAAATAGGGATAATCAATAATTTAGTGTTACTTTGGTTATTGCTAAACCTAGTTTACTGAATCTAGTTAACTAGGTTTATTGGTTAGTAGGTTTACTAGGTTACTAAGTTTACTAGGTTACTTGGTTTACTAGTTTACTTAGTTTACTAGGTTACTAAGTTTACTAGGTTACTAAGTTTACTAGGTTACTAAGTTTACTAGGTTACTAAGTTTACTAGGTTACTAAGTTTACTAGGTTACTAAGTTTACTAGGTTACTAAGCTTACTAGTTTACTAGATTTATTAGGTTACTAATTTTACTAGGTTACTAGGTTTACTAGGTTACTAAGTTTACTAGGTTACTTGGTTTACTAGGTTACTAAGTTTACTAGGTTCCTTGGTTTACTAGGTTACTTGGTTTACTAGGTTACTAAGTTTACCAGATTACTAAGTTTACTAGGTTACTAAGTTTACAAGGTTACTAAGTTTACAAGATTACTAAGTTTACTAGGTTACTTGGTTTACTAGGTTACTAATTTTACTAGGTTACTTGGTTTACTAGGTTACTAAGTTTACTAGGTTACTTGGTTTACTAGGTTACTAAGTTTACCAGATTACTAAGTTTACTAGGTTACTAAGTTTACTAGGTTACTTGGTTTACTAGGTTACTAAGTTGACTAGGTTACTAATTTTACTAGGTTACTTGGTTTACTAGGTTACTAAGTTTACAAGGTTACTAAGTTTACTAGTTTACTAGATTTATTCAATAACTTATCGAGAGTGGGAATCGAACCTAAGCTTTTACGGTTTTTAATTGTACGATCTTACAATTGCTACGGAAGATTTAATCAAATTCGTCCTCAATTTTCAAATTAAAAAAATACATTTAAATTTTTTTGAACATTTTATTCGACAGAATTTAAACTTATATACATATCCACAAATTTTGTCAAATTTTCAATCCTCAAGTGTCTCGCAACCATCGAAATTTCTCGAACATTTTCATCATTCAAATTCTCACTGACTATTGTTGTTGTCAATTCCTTCAAACTTTCAACTGGTTTACAATTTTCTCGAATGATCCGCTTTAATTTGTCCAAACTTGTTCTGCCTTTCAGATATCTGTAATTAATTCTTGAATTTCTTGCGAAATCAACTTCTTCCAAATTTTTAATGTTATCGAAGATATTCGGGCCAATTTTTGTGATTTTGTTGTCCACAAAGCTAATTTGTGAGATATTTGGTGTAAACTCAAATAAATCTCCAGGCAAGAATGTGATCTTGTTGCGACTAATCATCAATTTTTCCAACTTTGTAAATCCTCTCAAATCATCTTTGCAAATCGACATCAAATTGCAGTCGTAAATGAACATGAATTTTATATTTGGGAAGAAATCAGAAAGTTCTCTTGGAAATGTTGGCAAGTTTCCGCTGAAAAACACAACATCTGTAATTTTTTGATACATTTCTGGACCTTGTTTGTCAACTGATCTAAAAGTTGTGATTTTTTCGTTGGTTGTATCGACAAATCTTAGTAAAATGCTGGCTTTTTCGGCTGTGTTGAAGAAGATGTCGCAGTTGACGTCGCCCATGATGAGATTCTTGACTTTTGAATCTTTAAATCTTTTAGATTAAACTTGTTTTTATTGATTTTTAATTGTAATTGTAGTTTTAGTCTCACTGTTGCTGATGCTGCCATCAAACTGATTTAAAGAATGTTCAAGAGTAAGGAAACTTTGTACATTTACATTCACAAATCCATTTCAGGTAGAAATTTTAAATTTTGTTCAAAAAAGTTCAAATTTAAATTAATGTTTTAATTTATTTTGTTGTTTCCTAATGTTGACATTTTCGATTCTAATTGTCAGAGTAAAGCGACGCTGACTTATCAGACTTAAAATCTAGGTTTTCTAATTGCTTAATGTTAAAAATATTTTCTTTTCATTTTACAACAAATTTTCTTTCAATTGAAATTATCAAATCATCCTTCATCAACCTTCCAACTCCTTATTACCAACCAACTTAAAGAAATCATCAAAATTGCGAAATAATCAACTCACCTGAAAATATGAGACAACCCGAAGTGCCACTGTTGCAACATACAATGAGTTTGTTATAAAATCTATCACATTCCACATGTCATGTACATATTCTTGTAGTCCCACATCCCACAATTGTTTCACCTCACTCCATATCAGACCTAAACAATTGAGATAGAGAAACAAGAAAAGGTAATTCAATCATTCTGTTTATATTTCCGATTTCTTCCAGCAAACTAGGTGTAAATACATTTGTATCTCGACGAGGCAAAGAAGTTGAGTAGCATGAAAAGATAAATGTTAGTTCTCTTGCCAAACTATACTTTTATGTAACATTGACTCCCCCATCCAATCATGCTTTGTCTCTCACATCAATTGGCAGTCAATTGAAATCCAATTATGGATTGAGCAGATAGAAAAATCGATTTATTTTTTATTAATCCCAGGTTGGAAATTTGTCAAACGAAAACTTTAAATTGAGAATCACAAAATATCTTTATTCCTGTAATCTTTATGTTAATGCTTGTAACTTTATTTTATGTTCATTGTATCGACATTTGATACTCTTTTTTTTGGGGTAGAAAGTGAGATGGAAAATATTATTTTTTGGTATTGGGGATTTATGTGGTGAAATCTGTCAATTTTGAAAGTAGACAACCAATTCATGTATCGATGTCTGAGGGGAGGAATGAATTGAGTTGGATAAAGCTTTTGATTGTGGGTTTTTGAAAGTTTGCTATCAAGTTTTCAAGTTTTAAGCTTAAAATTTTGAGTTTGATGAATTGGAAGATGTTAGCTAGCAATTGATTCTACTTCAGGCATCAACTGAATAAAGATCATAGCCTTTTAAGGTTGTGTGGATCAAGATTTAAATTAACGAAACGTTTTGGAGATTCAGAACTTAAAAATGAAGCTGAAAAAAATTCAATTCCGTCTTTATTTGTAATAAAGTCACATTAGAAGGCTACATTAGTAATTTTACTAGTTTCTAAGAATTTTTGATCAACATCCAAAACCACTTCCAACAACCACAAAACCCCCTAAACAGAACTTTTTCTAAAGATATTTTTTTTGGGGTTTTTCGTCTATTTATAAGTATCACATAACACTCTACAAGCAAATTTTCTTATATTTTTTTTTTTGAAAATATATCCTATTCAATGTTACCCTTACAGACCTAATGGTCGAAAGTTTTCGGTTTACAATAATGAGATTTTAATATTCTTTTATTGAAAAGTTTTCTTGATGAAATACTTTGGGATCTTTTTATTCTGGTGAAAGATACAAATGATTCAGCATAACAGATGGTGATTATCAAATTTTTGTTAAAGTGGAGAGTGATTGAAAATTGATGGTGATTTGAGATTGTTGAAATGATAATTTAGTTTATTTTAAATTGAAGGTAATAAATAGAAGTCAATATTCGACCGAGAATAGGTGAAGAATCAGCATTATTAGCAGGAATTATTGATGAAAATATGATTTTTTGAACAGGTCTTTGATCTGTAAAGAGTCTATCAAGCAAGAAGATACACAGGATAAGATTAGGGGTCGTTCACTTATGACGTCCGAAATTAACGGTCATTTTTCAAAAAAAGAACAACTGACCCCCCTGGACGTCATAAGTGAACGGCCCCTTACAGATGTGATTAATTGAGATTTGATCATTTTAATTAGTTCCATACCTTTGATTCAGGTTGCATAATTGAACGGAAAAATTCAAATTCTTTGGATCAATTGACTGTTTTGTTTCAGCAATTTCAGGAGATTTTATGGAGCAATCCTTAAATCTCTTTAAGAAAAACCTTATTCAAGGCATAACCATGTAAATCCATTTAATTAGATCCCTCCGAAACTAATTTCTAATCCTAAACTGATATTCCATCTTACCTAACACAAAAAATCATTTAAATGCGTTTATAATTCCCAGACAAATTTGCATACAATTAAATTCAATTTCCAAGCTGCTCTCAACTTCTTTCCATACTCACAACAATATGTTAAATTATGATTTTAACATGAATATGATTTTGATACACGTGTAACTATGAATAATAAATTAAGAGAGGTGTGATGATAATCGCTTCAGAATTTACAAATTTTCATAGAGCTTAATTATTGATATGGAATGATGCATTGAGGAAGTACTTCAGTCATGAAACTTTAATCTGAATTTGATTGCATTTTAAGCACTTTTGTCTGATCAATTATTTAATTTACAGCAATTAAAGTTCCTTGAATATTGAGATTGATAGCTGAAACTGCATCAGTTAAAGCTTCAAATTAATTACAATTCCTCAAGCAAATCCTTTCACAATTTAAATCACATCATTTATTTCAATTTACAGCTAACGACTCTATCAATTCTCATCAACATCCCTTCAAGCTCTAAACAAATGAATCTTCACAACCTTCTCGTCAGTCACATAATGACGTCAATCACATTTCAATCGACAAATAGATTTTTCAATTAATTTATAGTTGAAAGCACTCACCGCTCACCCACGATAATATCATCCATTCAATCAATGTTGGTGCAGCACCACGTTTTGTCGGCAGCTCATCAGCAGCTGGGGTTGATTCACCAGAAAAATCCATCACAGATTCAATACGTTGCGATGCGAGCATTAAAAGAACTGCAAATTAAAATCAATTTAAATTGATTTGTTATTAAGGAACAGAGAACTACAAGCTATTGTAAATTGGAAAGGAACAAATGAGTTGGATTTAGTCCAGATTGCAGTTCTTGATTGTCTTTCTTTTTTTTTGTTACGAAAGTATGTCGTTTAGATGTGAATGATGGAGTGTTTAATTGAAGGATTTGGCATGACAGAATGGCTCTTTTTTTTTGGTCGAATAGAAATCGATGTTGGGGAGAAGCTTCCAATTATTTTGAAGCTGTTCATTTAATGAAGTAGTTTTATTGAATTTTTATAGGAGGAGCTTGATATGTTTGGTATGGGATCTTTGGACGTAACTTTTCACGTCCATAAATAAATCAAGCCACAAACAAGTCCAAGTTTATCTCCATTTCCTTAATTTTCATTTAAAATCTCCTTTCTATGTCAAAATTAAAAGCTTTTAAAGCATCCATAGCTTCTTCCAGTCAGTAAAAGCATTAAAATTAAAATATTCATTAATCTTTCTCACAACCACAATACATATATTTCCCCAAACCAAGCAGCATAGTGATGTTATAATTTTATGCTAACTAGCATGCATAAAATTGCATGTATATCCAAAATACTTACATAGAAATGTAAAATACGATGCACTGTGGCAGATGAATTTGATAAATGGCTTTCTCATTGTCTGTCCAAACGCGGAATGTGGTGCAAGTGTATAAGCCACGGAGAATAAAGGAAACATTATTCCTGAAAAGAAAATATGAAAAATTGAGATAAAAACGAGGAAAATTAGCATAATTAATTATTATTTTTGGATAGGAGTTCATGAAAGATTCAAAACGAGATTTTGTTTTGGTTTGTGTACTTCCATTAAATAAATCATTAATCTTCATTGTCTTCCATCATTTCACTGTTTACTTACCAATTCGACAAATCTCGAGTGATTGTAAGGCCATATTTTTCCTACGAAATCCAGGCAGACCTTCATACCATATAGACGCTAATAATTGTTGTACATTTGGGTGACTTACGAACTGTAAATTTAAATTTTAATAGATTTGTTTTTAATTTCATGGTGATTTTATTTAAATTTTATTATTTTCTTGAGATTTCCTTTTGTGAGTCATTCGTAAATGATGTCTATTTTTCATATTGATTTCTGTGAGCATTTTTCAAACATACGGAGCTGTAAATAGTCATTAATGTCATTTATCCCAAGTGGTCATTAGTCCCTAGTAGTCACTAGTCTTCCAAAGTAGTCACTAGTCCTTCCTAGTAGTCACTAGTCCTCATTAATAGTCACTAGTCCTCCTTAGGAGTCACTAGTCAAGTCCTTAGTAGTCACTAGTCCTCCTTAGTAGTCACTAGTCCTCATTAGTAGTCACTAGTCCTCATTAATAGTCACTAGTCCTCCCTAGTAGTCACTAGTCCTCATTAATAGTCACTAGTCCTCCTTAGGAGTCACTAGTCCTCATTAGTAGTCACTAGTCCTTGCTAGTAGTCAATATTTAAGGAAATCAATTAAATCTCAAAACCCAACTTAAAGCCCACAGAATTTTCTCAATAAAATTAAATTATTTTCAACATTAAGCGATAAAAATTGCTTCCGCCTCATCTTAAATTTAATAAAAATAAAGCTCCATCAACATTAAATTTGTTTCGACTAGTATAGCAGCCGCATAAATATAACAGTAACTTTATTCCATTCTATGTCACGCTAGAAGTAATCTATTGTGAATTAAATTTAGAGAATCATCAAGTCTACTGCTGCGTAAATTTGATTCTTTTTATATTCACACCGTTTTCACGTGTGAATCTATTGGTTTTGTTCAGATTGAAAAATCAGTTTTTCGCATTTTGTGAGAAAACAAAGCAAAATTGGTTTTAAAAGGGCAAGAAGAAAAGTTTGTGCCTGAAATTTTACATCATTTTCAAAAAACAGATTTCAAATTGGTTGTGGCATTGCTGAGAAAATCGCAAAATACGCTTTCTGTAAGCAAACAAGCAAGCAAGCAAGCAAGCAAGCAAGTTAATCAGCAAGAAATCTCAATAACGAGACATCGTAGAGACTTCTAGTTTTTTACATTTGATCCGTGCTGCTCTATAGAAGAGCTGTATTGTTTTTGGGCAAGGTAGGAACAGCCGTTGCTTCAGAAATGGCAAAAAACTTTCCTTTCTTACGAATTTTTTAAAACAAAAGTTGACTGTGATTTTTATAAAATTCAACTTTGGATGAAAATTTTTTTTTAAAAACTTTTAAAGAATATTTGGCATATTCGTCAAGCTTTATACCTTCAAACTTATGCTGAGCGTAGCTCAGCTGACTCGATAGCTTTATATCTTCAAACTTATGCTGAGCGTAGCTCAGCTTACGCGATAGCTTTATAACTTCAACTTATGCTGAGCGAAGCTCCACTGCCTCTCTAACTTCATATCTTCAAACTTATGCTGAGCGTAGCTCAGCTTACGCGATAGCTTTATAACTTCAAACTTATGCTGAGCGAAGCTCAGCTGCCTCTCTAGCTTCATATCTTCAAACTTATGCTGAGCGTAGCTCAGCTGACACTCTAGCTTTATAATTTCAAACTTATGCTGAGCGTAGCTCAGCTTACGCGATAGCTTTATAACTTCAAACTTATGCTGAGCGAAGCTTAGCTGCCTCTCTAGCTTCATATCTTCAAACTAATGCTGAGCTTAGCTCAGCTTACGCGATAGCTTTATAACTTCAAACTTATGCTGAGCGAAGCTTAGTTGACTTATCAAGCTTCATACCTTCATACTTATGATGGGCAAATCTTGGTCTATCCATAAGACTTATGATAGTACGGTGTGAATATAATCCGCATTGGGTTTCTACCCGATACACTAGTTAAATCATTTTTTTTTTCATCTTCTTTATGTTATCAGCACCTACTAAAGATGTAGAAGAAGAAAATTGAGAAAATTACAAGACAAATTGCTGCAGGTTATAGGGTCAAATTGTTCAGAAATTTATTTACGGTGTGATTTGATGTGGCTTGTACAAAATCCATCTCTTCCCCAAAAAATAGATGCAAATATTAAAGTAAATAGGAAATCAAGGAAGGTATGGAAAGCACAAAAAGCTACAATCTAAAGTAAATATAGAATAAGAATTCCAAATATTTACATGTTTGTGTTCATGTGATGTTATAAAGATATACGTGTGCCTCATATATAATACGACTTACATTTGCATCATCGTATGACAGGTACATCGTATTGTATAAGAAAAGGAAAGTATAACAAAAGGAATAAAAGGAGGATCCATCTCATGATTTTTTTGCTCGTTACTGAGCTTATTTTGTGGGGAATTTTGATGTTTAGAGTCACAAAGTTTTAATAGGGGTGCATGAATTTGCATTATTATTAATTTCTTGCATATCAAACAATTTAAATTAGCTAGATTAGCACCGGGAGTTTGAGCTGCCCGGAGTACCCTAGAATACAACCTTAGCTTGTGACTTTAATAAGTGTCTCAGAAAAAATTGTAAAAAGGTCTGGGATGTCCTACTGATCTACATGTCACTGGAAATCTACAAAGGAAGGCTGTGAGCCTCATTTCCAGTTCATATGATTCGAAAAAGGACAAGAAAAAATTTCTCATACCCAGTCTCGAACCCATGATCGCTGTGTCGGTATTGCAATAATTTGGTACCAAACCATTCCACCACCGAGCCACTTTAGTTCACATAAAAGTTCCGAACCAAACCAACTTAACATTCATCGAAGCCTCTCAATTCCCTTTCTTTACAATTTCTGTCATAAACTTTCAAAATAAATTTGTATCATGTCATAAAGTCTCTCTTAGAATCTCTATTTTTTACGCTTCCCTGACTGTGTAGATATCATTATGACATGTCAGCACATCATTTTCTTTTCAGCTTTTATTTTTCTCTCGTTCAGGTTCGTTTAAACTTCAAAAAAAAAATTTGTGGAACAAGAAAAAAATTTGTGTAGCTTACAAAAAAAGGATTGAGGGACATTTATTGCAAGAAAAGTTCGACTTTAATTTTAATATAAGATTTTAAAGTCTGAGCAATTTTTTTATCGCACGTGGCTTGTCGACTGAATCCCCTCGACAGCTGACTCGCTGTACGCTTTATAGAAAATTTATTTTTTTGACCTTTGTCATTGCTTAATGTCTTTTGGCACTGGTCCACAATAAAGGATTTTTTTAACAGTATATTTCAATCTTTAAGGAAAATATCGTAAGCTTTTAAGTCGATAAGTTGTCGTAACATTGGTGAAGAGGGAGAAAAAGTTTTGTAATAAATCAATTGAGGATTTAAAATTTTAAAGGAAGATGCTGGATTTTGGGAGATCACTGTGAGAGACATTTGAGGATTTAAAGTGAATTTAATAAAAAAAATGGCAGCATCAGGGAGGAGAGGTGGATTTACATAGTTCCAGAACCATTAATAATGGCACATGACTTTGACTAGCATAGCCTGCTTGTGTAGTACACTAGCTACAGTGTAGCAGGAGTTGCCCAGTACCCTTGTTATGTCTCTGAGCTAACATGATAGCTGATCCTACGTTATTACTTAATAATTATATGTCTTAAGCTACGTCTCTCCATTCTAAGGTTCAAACCAACAACCTTCACCTTCACCATCACTTCATTCCAATCAACCACAAAACATACAAAAAAACTTCCTCAAATATTGTCAAACAATCTTAATTCGGCAAGAAAATAACACACAAAAAAATAGATTGATGTGTGGGCACTTAAGAACGACAGAGGTTTATACTTATTGCTATGTTAATTTACGTATAACAACGTCTCGTTAACGAGAAAAGTAAAGCTAAGCTCATTAACTTGAGCAATATTTTTTTTTGTGTATGTCTGTTGACATTGTGTCCTTTTTGAGTGATTGTTTCTTCTTATGCTGATTCCATTTTTCGCAAAAAAAATATTTTTCATAAAAAAAGTATGCTCGTGTCGCTATGACATAAACACTCAACAACATTTCCATTTCTTTTCATGTAAGCTTCAAAAAGAGCGTCATATTGCAATGATGAGTTTTCCACTGATTTGTGTGTACAGCAATAAAAGTCTTTTTTTGTTCTTTTATAAAAAGTTATTGCTCAAAGTTTTACGCAGGGGATAACAACTTGATAGGGAAAGTTTTAAATGATTTTTTCTTTTCAAAATTTCGGTGAAGAAATTATGCAAAATTCTTATGAAAGTTTGCACCAAATTTCAAAATTGGTAAGAAAATATTTTTCCCCTTATGTTGTGTCCTCCCTGATTAATTAGAAAACTCTCAACCAATTTCTTTCTGGTTTTGAATCAAAACTTCAAAAATTCTTGATAATTTCGCACCAAACTGTTATCCCATCAAGCTGTTATCCCCCTTCGAGATCCACAGATATGGGAATTCAAATTTTATCATTATGGGATCAATGTATTGTTATGAAATGAATCTCTGTTTTGCTGATTTATACTCTTCAATAAACGCAAAAATTTTCTTGTTGTTTTTATTTCAGATTAAATGACTTTTTTTCTGCCAGAATTCGGAAGGGAAGGGGGGAATATTCAAATTGAAATGGATGCTGAATATTTTTTATGGTAGACTTTGAAGTGCGTGACAAATAAAAGATGGAAATCGATGCTTGACTTTAGATTTGTGGATTCAAATGTATCGTATGACATTAAAGCTATTTTTTTGTTTGAAATTGATATTATTGAGTGGAATTGTTATGAATGGGATTGATGAAAGAATGATGGAGATTTGAGTTTAGATGAAGAGATGGGGGAAGTCAAGTTGATAATCAAGTTGATAATCAAGTTAATGGTCAAGTTGATTGTCAAGTTGATAATCAAGTTGATAGTCAAGTTGTTCAATTTAAACGGAACTATGGAGAAAATTGATCTGACTTTCTTCTTTCTGTGGGTTGCATTTGACGTTTACAAGATGTTGGAGTAGCACAAAGGGGAAAACAACATGGTGGAAAAAGTTTTTGTAGAAAAATAAAGAGAAATGTGATTTAAAATGTTTCAACACAGCAG